CCATTGATTTGATGGCACAAGTGCAGTGAAGTGTGGACATTCCAGACCAGGCCTATTTAACACTTGTGTTTCTGAGAGCCATTTCCCTCAGACATCCCCATTATAGGCCATTTCTCCCGAGAGCCATTGCACAACTGCTGTCAGAGAACTGCGTGTCTGTCAGTCTCAACCTATCTAACATTAATAATATGCTGCCTCATGGCACGTAAACCATCAGACCGGCAAGATGAAACATTCCCTCTCTCTTTAAACAGGGGGAAAAAAAAGAATATACTTGGAATCTTTTGCTTGCTCTCTTTTTCCTCTCCGTGTGACTTCCTCTCTCTCGGGGGAATTATGCCAACCTTTATTAACACATACTGCAGTTATTTTAAGCATGTTATACTCATTTAAAGAAACTTACTTACTTATAGGGCCGTTTATATTGAAACTGATATTTAGTTGCACCATGTTGGTGTTTTGTAACATCTAATTTTCACAAGGTGTGCCGTTGGCCCAATGCTCAACCCCCAACTTGGAGGACCAGGCACATACACACATACGCTACTTACAATTCATATAATATCCTACTCATATAGTGCATGTATTTGGACTGTCTGGGATACCCGGAGGAAACCCATGTGAACATGAGGAGAACATGCAAACTCCACACAGAAATGCCAACTGACCCAACCAGAGCTTGAACCAGTGACCTTCTTGCTGTGAGGCGACAGCGCTACCCACACTCCCAGAAATAAAGATACAGGAGCTGTCACTGGGGCAGCACCTTTTCAAAAGGTACATATTTGTAACTGAAGGGTCCATAATGGTACTTCAAAGGTACTTTTTAGGTACATTTGGGCACTGATATGCACTGTGGACCCTTTGGGTAACAAATATGTATCTTTTGAAAAGGTGCTGCCTCAGTGACTGCTCTGTACCTTTATTTAGGAGAGTGCACTGTGCCACCATGTCATCCATGTCATGTTATCCACCATATCTAAAGGAACACTCAACTTTTTTTTTTTTTTTTCAAATATGCTTATTTTTCAAATCACCTACAGTTAAACTGTTTTACCATAGCGGGAGCACTTTTTAGCCTAGCTTTTCATACTTCATTGAATCGGATTAGACCATTATCATCTCACTCAAAAAAAAAAAAAAAAAAAAAAAACATTTGATCATTTTCCATTTGAAAGCTTCACTATTCTGTAGTTACATTGTGGACTAGTGTAGTTTATCGTAAAGTATAGTTATTTTCTAGGATGACATGCCTAGGAGCTATACTTTCATTCTGGGATAATCATCAAATGGCTTTTTTGTTATACAAGGCTGCAATAGGCACAATGATATTATGCACTATCTGAAAATAGTCCCCAGCTGTAACTAGGTAACAGCACTGTAATATCATTGCTGCAGGCATGGTAGCCTACATCAACAGAGTCCATTATACCAGGATAAGAGTATAGTTCTAGGAAATTTTAATTTTCTGTTGGTCTTAATACATAATGTAACTAAAAAAGAGTGAAGCTCAAAAGAAGAGTTTTGATTATTTTCCCTGTTAAAGCGAGATGCTAAAGGTCTAATCCGATTTAATGATGAATGCTAAGCTAAGCTAAAAGTTTTCCCACTATACTCAGAGTTCGGCTGAATGGATTCAAAAATTGTAAAACTCAACTGTTTAATTCTAAGTGACTTGTAAAATCAGCCTATTTCCAAAAAGCAGAGTGTTCCTTTGAGGTTTAAAATGTTCTGAATATCATCTCAAAGAAACGTAAGGTCAGGGTAAGTGGATGTAGGAATGTTGGTACTGTATGTGGCAATTTGATCCAGTCAGTCTGCTGGGACTTTGATGTTTCTCCTGAGCTGTTTGTTTTTGTGTACGTCTCAGTCTTCACCAATTCAGTATGGAAGTAGTCTGTCTACGGAGTCACAGTTTATGTCTCATGGGAGGAATGTTTGAGCCACAGAGGAATGTGTTGTAAAAATGGAATTTCTGCCAACTGTCTGTCTAGTCACCCGCGTTTCTCATATCTTCACTGTCTGTCTCGGCTAATAGCAGAAGAGCTTTTCAAAGGCTTTGACAACCAAGATGAGTCAAAGTGTAATCACAGTTTTAAACTCTCGACAAACAGGAAAGGAAAAAAAAAAGCATCTGATGTCTTGTCTGTTAGCCATGTTTACTGTCTGTGCATGGCAATATTAAATATATGGGGGTAATAATGAGGACTTTTTTTAGAATATGTATTTAATATTTCTGTTTTTCTTACATTTTTTGAAATAAGCTTTTCTTTAAAATATATCTGTAAAATATGAGCTCATGTAGAGTGTTGTGGTGGCCATTAGGACATAAACATTTTATTTTTTTTTTCATATTGTGTGTCATTTCAAAATATCCTGGCAAAAAAAATAATAATAATAATAAATAAATAAACTAGCATGTTTTCTTTGAAATTAAAATGTTTGACAACAATGTTAGATATAAAGCAATGAATGGTCAGTAAACCATTTGCAGAATGCATGTTTCTTGTCCACTACACAACAATTTCAGAAAAATTGACACTTCTGACAATAATGTGGTGTTGTCGAAATCTGGAATTATGCTTAACAAATATATTAATATGAATAAAAATCAAAGGTGTAAAAAAGTAAAGGTGCCATTACTTGCCCAAAAATGTGGTACAAGTACAGTAAAAGTGTCTGTTGTAGGTATTACTTGAAGTATGAGTAAAAATTTGCCCTTTTAAAAGTACACAAGAGTAGTGAGAATTGAGTATTATGCTGTTAAAAATACAGTTCGTGCAGGGATGTGTAAGCGTAATATTCTGTAGTCCATTTAGTGATCTTATATTAGTTTGTTCCTTAAAACCTTTCTTCCATTGTTTGTTTGTTCTGTCCTTCCTTCATTCATTTGTTCATTCCTTCCTTCATTCATTCATTTGGTCCTTGCTTTATTCCTCCTTTCATTCGTTTGTTCATTCATTCGTTCTTTCGTTCATATTTTTGTTTCTTTCTTCATTAAGTCCTTCGTTTGTTTGTTCGTTCCTTCCTTGCGTGTAAAGATTTTGGACATCTTCTTGGACATTTATATTGCTTTTATAAGGTTTGCTGCATTTATAATCTATTGAGGTTGTTCAGTATGTTGTGATTTACTTTTTATGTGCGATTTGATTGGAGGATTCACAGGACTGATTTTTCTACTTTAGCCAATCACCATAGACAAGAAAGAAATAAAGTAGTGACTGCAGGTTGAAGGAAAATAGTGGAGTAAAAGTACCCATACATCACTAAAAATGTACTCAAGGGAAATTAAAAGTATGCATTTTTTTAAAAACTACTTAGTATAGTATTTTCCTGATAAAAAAAAAAAAATACTCAATTGCAGTAATTTAAGTATATGTACAGAAATGTGTTACTTTACACCACTGATAAAATACAGCAGTATGAATACAATAATATAGTAAAAAACATAAATACTGTATGTTTTATTTATGCTTACAAATATTTGTTTATGATTTCTGTCTGAAGCAAAGGTCAATATTATTAGCCACATATTTTTTTTCTATGATTATTTTCAATAAAAACCAATGGCTTGCCTAATTAACCTAACTTACCTAGTTAACCTAATTAATTCCTTTAAATTGTACTTTAAGTTGAATACTAAAATTTTGCAAAATATCTAGTACAATATCATGTACTAGATATCAGTATCAGACAAAATAAATAAGTAACTAGTTATTAAAAAAATAGCATTTTTAAAAAGGGTCCTGTTCATTGTGTTAAACAGCACTAAGGAATTTTTTGAAAAAGAATAAAATATTTACAGGAGAGCTAATCATTTTGCATTTAATGTAATATATTATGAACTGTATTTCCAACTGTACTGTGTTTCCAAGTAAACATTTTCAATATATGCATGTCCATCTTTTTTTGACAGCTTGTGTGAATTATAAATTTGTTCAGCTAGAATTAGCAGTTGTTGTGAAGTGCTCATTACAGTGTCTGGCTTCATTGACCCTATTTTTTCTCTTCTTCATTTTCTCTTTAGCCCTAAGGCTGCAGACCAGCGTTAGTCATAGTTTTATATAAGAATGTTTTATGACATGAGACAATTAACAAAAATAACAAGTATGTTTCCATAACAACTGGATCAAACACAGACAAATATGCTTGCTCATAAATGTATCACAGTAAATGTGTCACTGTGGCTTTTTAAAAAGTTTCTCTTATTTTTATTAAAAAAAAAAACTTTTATCCTTATAGTCTAATTTTATTCTTTTTTTCTTACCTTTAATATTAAACACAGTAGTCAGATAGTGGTTCTGGCAGGTATGACAGCATGAGTCAGAGTTAGACAAGACATTTAATGGTCCTTGCGTTTTACAATTTGCTTAGTGACATATCAGTTGAAGTCAGAAGTATTAAACCCCCTGAAATATTACCCTGGTTATTTTTTCCCTAATTTCTGTTTAACGGAGAGAAGATTGTTTCAACACATTTCTAAACATAGTAGTTTTAATAAATCATTTCTAAAAACTGATTTATTTTATCTTTGCCATGATGACAGTAAATAATATTTGACTAGATATTTTTCAAGACACTTTTAGAGAGCTTAAACTAGGTAAATTAGGTTAACTAGGCAGGTTAGGGTAATTAGGCAAGTATGGTTTGTTCTGTAGACTATCGAAAAAAATATTAAAGGGGCTAATAATTTTGACCTTAAATTATTATTTTATTTTTAAATGTAAAGCTGCTTTTATTCTAGCTGAAATAAAAAAATAATAATAAAATAAGACTTTGTCTAGAAGAAAAAAGTATCAGACACAGTGTGAAAATTTATTTGCTCCCTTAAACATCATTTGGGAAATATTTAAAAAAGAAAGAAAAAAAATCCTAGAAGGGGCTAATAATTTTGACTTCAACTGTATAAGGGTTATTTTATAATTAAAGCTGCCTGTATGTTCTGTTGAATTACATAGCCTTTTGTTAGTGAATTTACAGTAGCCATTATTTTCTCACAGAGAGGAGCTGCAGAAAACACACATGGGAGAATTGGAGAGACTGGAGGAGAGCTTTAGAAGCAGGCTGAAAGCTACAGAAGAGCACAGTTTAAAGGTGTGGACAGTCACAAATTGAAACTTGTTATTCTTAGTCAATTCCATGATGTATTGATTGCTTTGTCATGTTTATTTTGATTTATGAAACACGTTTAATGGTAAGTCTCCGGTGTTCACATCATTTGATTTGAGTAACTCGCAGACCCCTATTAAGTATACTAGACTTTAGTGGAGAATTAAAGCATGCGGGAGGTCCAAATGTGTTTACTTTGATGGAACCAAAAATAATGGGATTTTCTTTGAATTAATGATTTTTGTTGGTGTTGCTTGTGAAGGTGAGAAAAAATATTAAATCAATCTCAGAAATAAAGGTACGGCAGCTTTCTCACACATTTATATCTAAAAAGTTTATATTGGTACATATCCTCATTTTAAATTTCAAATATTTACCAAATGTTTAACAAAATAAGAACAGCGTTGTCAGTATTCCCTATAAGTTCTTTCTTTTTAAGAAGGTCTTGTTTTAGCTGGAATAGACCTTTAAATTACATTTCAAGCTGAATACTAGTATCTTGGAAAAATGTGATGGCAACGCTAAGTTGAGGGTTATATTGCTCCTGAACCATATTCCAAATCAATCGCCTTATTTCCAAGTTTCCAATTTTCCACATCAAGTGCTGTGCTAAGTCATCAGCCAAAACTCAGAACAACAGCTATATTGTTGGTCAAAAACGGAAAGTTGACCAGTGAAATAGATTAATGTAAATGCCTCACAAGTCCACCAAAATATCATAATAAGCTAAGTTGCCTAACATACTACTCTAGGAATTTTAACACTATTCCACTTAAAAGCAGCACATTTTCTCTCTTTTCCTTCTGTCTGAAGTTCAGTTTATTTCTTTTTTTTTTGTTCTTATTATTGAAATTGTATTCATTTGTATATTTGTGGGCTGTGGTCTACCCTCAGCACGCTAGTATTAAGTGGAATGCTGTTTGATTTAGTGCAAATCACATTTAAGACTCGCCGGTTTCCTGCCATTAACACAGTAATGCATCCAAGTCTAGGTGGAAGTGGTCTCTTGCTGTCAAACACACACATAGATGCTGTTTCACACTACATAAACACTATTGGTTCTCTCACACGAACTCTGTCTGCACTCTGGGCTCCACAAAAAAACATGGTGGCCTTGGTCATGGCCGACTAAAAATATATGGCATGTCACCATCCCCCTCTTTGTTGTTTGTAATTGCTCTAACCATTTTATTCAGTTGCTGACAGTTCAATATTTCAAAAACCACAGTAAACCCTGTCTTTGATATGACAGAGTGCAGTCAGAGAGAATGGCACAGCCAGCTTTATTTGATTTTTTTTTTCTCACAACACGAGGATTAAATTAACCGTTATGAAAAAGGATAGATGGATTTTGTAGTCATTTTGTCCTGTTAGATGTTTTACTGTGCTATTTTTCAGTGGCAAAAAAAATATTGTGTTATGTAAGAATTCAGCATGTACATAAAGGACAGTGCAAATCAAGTGGCAAGGAACCAAAACTCCACCACCAAACAAAGCAGAGCTGCAGTTTAAAAAGTTCAATGTCTTTAACTATAAGAAATGAAAGGATTAAAATGTAAAGTAACAAAAACATAAGCAAAGTTAAATGTTAACATAAATATAAATACCACTACCTCCTCCCAAGCCTTCTTCACCTAAGGATGCCTTGGTGAAATCCAGAGTTCTTTCGATGTCTTCAGCCTCACAGACAAGCATATACATTTCCTTGCTAGTGCGATGTTTTGTTTTTATACTTACAAAGTACGAATCTTCTATGGTATGACCACAATCCACTTATTAAAGTAGACCTGTTATGCAAAAATCACTTTTATAAGTGATTTAATCATTGTAATGTGGCAACAGTGTGTGAATTTAGCCAAAAATAAATGAAAATTAGTGATGATCTTTCCCTCGATAGCATTAACAGCCCTGCGTGAGAAACAGCCGTCTTCCATTAGAGTTATCACCTGCTCAGCGACTAAGAGCATTAAAATGTGAAGTTTTAGATGAACACTGTTGTCTCTTTCTTTTGAGACGCTTCTTTTCATATTTTCAGTTTTTCACAGAGATAACGTAAGTGCTGTTTTTAATCTGCTGCTATGCTGATGCACAGGTGTTTGTAGCTCGCCCCCTTTTGAAAGGAGCACAATCTTATTTGAATTTAAAGTGACAGACACCAAAATGGCACAATTTGGATTACAGTCTAAAACAAGTAATTTAAAATAGTTATAAAACATTATTTGTGTGGTATTTTGAGCTAAAAGATCACATTACATCAGACATATTTAGCATCTTGTTAACATCTAGGGCATGTGTGTTCACGGCCGGATAGACATCATACGATGGCAAATTGGTCGACATCGCCCAACCCTAATATATATGTATGCATGTGCGATCACCACACACAAGCTATAGGCGTAGTGGAGAGACAGTGATAGAGCCAGTTCAGTGGATAGAGATGACTGGGAGGCCATGATGGTTAAGGGCCGAAGGGGAATTTAGCCAGAACATCCCTACTCTTTATGAGGATGGGATTTGTAATGACCACAGAGAGTCTGGACCTCGGTTTATCGTCTCATCCGAAAGATGGCACCCACGGACCGTTTAGTGTCCCCTTTTTTAGAAAGCACTCTCCACTGTGTTCCAAATTATTATGCATATTTTTTCAAGTGTTTCAATTAAAGTCATGGCTGGTATTGACCTTATTCTAAAATGCGGAAGGGCACCTGTTTTCGCGATTGTCTTAGAACTTCCGATTCAGTTGCCTATGGGAGAAATGACTAGGAATAATAAATGGCAGAAAACGGACAAACTTGCTCTACAAACAAATGTTTGCATGACTATACAGACCAAGTAGAATATTATAATAAGAAAATATCCAATTGTAACAACAAGCAGCGTAGCAACCAGTTTTTAACGTCAAAAAATTAATGGAAGTGAATGAGACCGGAAGTCTCAAGCCAAAAAGATTCAAATGGCAGCGCCTACTCGTCGGCGGAGAATTAGGTGAATTGTCGCAGTGCTCTTTCAATAACTAAAATCAGACCCCTGTGATAATTAGATTGCTAGGTGAGCCCAATTAAAGGAAAACTACTTAAGAAGGACATTCCATGTTTTTATGAAGACCTCAGGTTTCAAGCAATATGGGTAAGAAACTGAATCTCTTTGCAGCTGAAAAGCATTAAATAGTGCAATGCCTTGGACATGATATGAAAGCATAAGGTATATAAACAAAAACATTAACCATGATCATATTCTGAAAATGCAGCTCCTTAATTGACATTACAAAGCAGCAAACAGATATTTGAACCTGACAATGCACCATCTTAAGGTGTAAATAATACCTCTGTGGCATTGCATGCTATGGGCAAAAAAGGAAAGAAACTCATAGAGTGGTCACTACCCTCTTTGGATGTTTATGATTAAATTGGCATTTGATTTGAATAAATGTGACCTAGTGCAGCAAATTCAACAAATTACCATTTTCATTTCTTTATGATCCATAAAAATACCTACTTTTATCATTGGTATGTAAGTTCAATAAAATTCAAATTATACCTTTGATGACTTGAAAATTGTATACTGATTGTCATTTGCATCACTAATAAGAAAACCAGACGAATATAACATGTTTCATGTAATGTTTATTTTTATTCTAATTCAGCTTTATTTCATTTAATGAAAACCATATTTATATGTGTAGAAACAGCACTGCACTTTCTAGTATGGCCGAAATACATTGGATTTGATGTAACTATAGCTTCATTAAACTGAACTGAACTTCAGTTTATGGTTTAACTGCTCAAATAACAACCTAATTCTCATGCAACTTCTAAACTTTATTTGACCTCATCCCTTATTTAACCTTTATTTTCTGCACACAGATGGAGGCTTTTCTCCAGCAGAAACAGGCTGAGCAGGATAAACAGCTGAAACAGCGAGAGACAGAGTTAAGAAGAGAAGCTCATATTGAGCTAGACATTCAAAGACAGAAAAACCTGGAGCTGCTTAACAAATACCAGAATGAAATCCAGCAACAACAAAACAAGGTACAAACAGCTGATGTCTGGCACTCCCATGTGACCTCCATGTCTTGATCGTGGGACAGTAATGTTGCTGATCTGAGTAATAGTTCATCTACAGGGTGTCAATAACTATCAATGAGTCGATTTATTTTGTGAAGCAAAAACTATATTACAACAAATATGTCAAGGTTACCAAGATTTAGAAAAGGAAACCGAAGTACTTCACCATAGTTTCAAATTTAGTATCAAAATGTCTTCTTGGACATCCTTATTTGATTATATTTAATATAAACCTGGGACAAGAACAAACATGTTTGACTAGCTTGGGGTACATGAACACAAGACTCAAGTCACGCTCTCAGTTTCCCACTGGACTAATTATTTAACTCTCTGGTACATCGATTATTAAACCATAACAGAGACAATATTTTTTATCTCTTACTTAAGCCTTACTTTTTCAACTCAAGAATAGAATAATGTATAAACAATTCCACAGCAATAAGTTTTTATTTTCTTGAGTAATTAATCTAATTTGTGAGCAGAAAATAATGCTGTTTCATATTTCAATATCAAAAAAAATAGATGATTATTGATTTAGTCCAGTATACTAACTTTAACAGCGTTTAATGTTTGCCCCATTTTAATCTACTGCTCCATGTGTCTGTGTCCATGTCTTTCTCCCAGAAATTTCTGATTACTGTCTGTCCTTTCTAGCCTGATACTGTGTGTGTGTGTGTGTGTGTGTGTGTGTGTGTGTGTGTGTGTGTGTGTGTGTGTGTGTGTGTGTGTGTGTGTGTGTGTGTGTGTGTGTGTGTGTGTAGCCAGAGGAAGATCAGTGAAGGCAGCTCTATTGGTCCAGAAATGATGTTGAGAGGTTTTGTCTGTCTGCATGCCATAGCGAGGGTTTGCTTGGCAAGTCTGTTATGGGTAGCGAATTTTGGATGGGGACAGTGCTTCAGGACAGGTTGCTGGGATGTCAAAACAAACATGCTAACTAACTAGCTAACCAAGTGTCTATCTGTTAGGGAGGTGCATCTTTTAATTGTGGCCCCTTCTTATATCTTGATGCATAGTGAACAATACAGCAAGTCCTTATGATGTATTAAGATCCACAGTATCCAGAATATTGTCAGCATAGCACCAAGTTACCCAACTCAATGCAGAATTAATTGTGTATCTTAGACTGTTTGAAGCCCCAAAGAAGTGCACCTGCAGAGACTGTTGCATGCCCAGTGCGAAGCATAGGGGTGGATCAGTGATGGTTTGTCTCATAATATCATGGCATTCTTTTGTGCTAGATGGGCACGTGACTACCATGGTCAACCAAACCATTCTGGAGGACCATGTGCACCCAATGATTCAAACATTGTATCCTGAAGGTCTTGCTGTGTGTCAGGCTGATAATGTACCAATACACACAGTAAGACTGGTGACAGAGTGGTTTGATCAACATGACTGTGAACATCTCCTGTGGCCAGCACAGTCACCATAGCTAAATATCATGAAGCTACTTTGGGGTATTTTGGAGGATTGAGTCAAGAAATGTATCACATAGTAACCTGGCCACTATTCTGCATGAAGAATGGCTCAAAATCTTTCTGGCCACTGTGCAGGACTTGTATCTGTCATTCCAAAGATGAATATATATACATATTGGTTTTTTGCTACTCATGGCTATAGGTCCAGACAGAATCTGCGGACATTTTTTGCTGTTTATGCAGATAATTTAGTAAAAAAAAAAAACACCAGATTTATGCGGAATGGTTTTAGGACTATCATAACTAAAAACTTAATTTCTGAGATCAACAAATAATACATTTTTACCTTTTATTTAGGGCCAATCCCAATTCTACCATTATAGATATTATGACATTATATATGCCTTTGGTGATTTCCTGTAGATAAATACCAAAGAATAACACAACTGGAATTACTCCAGCAGTGGCGATCGTCTGATCTCATATGAAGCAAGAAATCGTGAGGACATATAATGACGTGTGCAGGTACTGTAGTGCTGTCCCAATTCTTAGGGGTACATTTTGAAGCCCTTCCCCTTAAACCTTGGTTGTAAGGGCAAAGGGGAAAGGGGAAGGGGTAGGGATACAAAAATAGAATTGGCATTGGGCCATAATATTTACAGTACAATGCAAATCCAATTAGATGCACTTATTTGTTAAACAAAGCAAGTCTCTTATATAATATCTCTACTAAAAGACAGAAAAAAATACTTTAAAAACTGTATTGTAAATAAATCATATGAACATTTTAATAATATTATTATTATTATTATATTACAATGCTATCCGTAAAATGAATAAAAACTGAATAAATATACATTTGCACACATTTACACAAGTCGATGGGCTAAAAATCTGCGAAGATTGCGGATTTCTGCGCAGATACCATGTGGGCCTACGCATCGCATAACAGATTACAAAGGTATTAGTTTTACCTGAATAAGAGCCAAAGTAAATTATAGTAGGGTTGTCTTAAGGTAGCATCAGTTTGATTGATAATCTGATTTACACTAGTTTATTATAATTTTTTTTGTCGGTTTAGTCCCTTTATTAATCCGGGGTTGCTACAGCGGAATGAACCGCCTCTTTCACACATACACTACGGCCAATTTAGTTCATTCAATTCACCTGTAGCGCATTACTTTGTACTGTGGGGGAAACCGGAGCACAAGGAGGAAACCCACGCCAGCACGAGGAGACCATGCAAACTCCACACAGAAATGCCAACCGGGGGTTGAACCAGTGACCTTCTTGCTGTGAGGCGATAGTGCAACCCGCTGCACCATCGTGCCGCCCCGCACTATATACTATTTTTCTTTTTTAGAATGTAGCATTATTACTGAGGTGCAACTGTCTATTTGCACCAAGAATAGCATCTAAATACACTTATTGGAAATAAAACTACTTTTTTTTTTTTTTTTTACATATAGTACAAATATATAATACTGTATATTTATTTAGTGTAAGTAGCATAATCCTCAATTGTGTAAATGACATCTGTCACTATTGTGCTTGGTTTAAATGTTATCTCTGCCTAATGTCTACATATTGTAATTGTGCTATTTCCACCTAGTACTATAGTGCTATTTCCACCTAACTTTTTTTTTTTTTTTTTGCACATAGTGCAAATCAGATCTTTACTATTTGTGCTTAGCATTGCTTTTTACATTCATAGCTATATTGGACTTAACATAAATACAATAAATAAACATTTCACATATGAATTTTTTATCTGAAAGGAAAGAGGAAAGAGGTTTCTTTTTTAAGACTACATCTTATCTAAAATTTCTCTGAAGTGTAGTCAGAAGGATGATATGGAAGTCAGTGGGGTTGCGAGGGGGAGGGCTTTGGGGGCTTAAGCCACTGATGTAATGTCAAAAGCCGTTGATCTTTTGGAATATGTTGCACTTAAAAAAAAAAAAAAAAAAAACATTTATTTTGATATCGAAGTCCTTAAAATTAACATTTACATCACGCGCTCCACTTAACGCAGCGTTTGTGTCATGTAATTAGTCAGCTATTCAGCAGTACCTGTTTCTACCGGCAGGTGGGAATGGCACTGTTGTCACAAAATCCCGTCATCATAATTCATTCATTATTTTGAGGAGCTGATGCTAATGAGGTAATACAACTGTTTCGCAAAACTGAATAGTTCTAACTACTGATGAAGCTTAATATTTGTTTTCATAGTAAAACATGTCTGTAGTTTTGGTAAAATAAAATAACTATTCGGGGGGTGGGAGGGGGCTAAGCCCCTTATCCCTTTTGACCCTAGCAATGCCCCTGATGGAAATACAGATGTATGTAGTTGCAGTCATCAAATATTTATTTATTTATTTATTTAATGCAAACTGTATTTTCATGTCTTTACATTTATCACTCTAGATTCCCGCTGTCATTCATTCAGCCACACAGGTGCTCCAAGAGAAATTGTCGGTGCTGCAGGAGCGTGTTAAAGAGCAAGAGAAGGAGATGCAACATATTCATGAGAGCTCCTCTCAGAGGCAGCAGCAGTTACTGCAGGAACGCAGGACAGCAGAGGCACAGCTGCAGTACACCTTGCAGGAGCTGCGGCAGAAAACACTAGAGCTGAACAAGGCTCACAGTAACATACAGCAACTCCAAGAAGAGAGGGTCATCCTAGAGAAAGAGGTGAGGCACAACTCTCCATCTGTCTTCTTACACATTTGAACCCAGAATTTGAGAGATTGAGAAAAGCTATCAATTTACTTGAGCCAGAGCCTTTCAGTTCAGAAATGGATAAAGCAGACTGCACATTTACACCATTTCTAAGCACTCCATAAGAAAAAAATAGCAGCTAGAAGTAGACACATTTCATATATAAGGTTCAAAAAATTGCAGATTCGGTTTGTATCAAAGTTCTGTAGTCTCGGGTTTTTGGTTTGATTTGGTATGTATTGTAAAAAATAAAAAAATCCATTATTGTAACACCATACATCAGCATAAAATGTGACCTGAAAATACACCCACCTATTGAACTAATATATTATAATATATGATTGTAATATAATAGAACATTTATCAAGGAATAGGTTTTGAGTAATTCAAATTGTATCAAGTTTTCTTTTTTTTTTAAACTATAACTGTTTTAACTTTTTTAAGATTCTATACCTCTCAGTAAGCCCTTTCTCTGCCTCCTAAATCATGCATTAAGCTTCAATTGTCTTAAAATAATTAAGTAGAATTTTCATCTTTTTCGTCTTGTGTGTTTATTAGGTTGTATAAACACATTTTATTTGCAATTTTAGTAAGAAAAACTAAGAATTTTGTGTCGGTCCCTACATTCTGGTCACATTCTGGTTACGTCTGTTATAAAAACATTGTTCCATTCTGTAAAGCACTGATAGAAAAAGCATAAGACTTGCTCCAAGTGATGTCACTTCCTTTGACAAGAAATTCTGGAAGGCATTGAGACATTTATTAATTTGTTTCTCTTAAAAGTTTGTGCAAAATGTTTTTGGTAAACCAGTAGTAGATTAACTCATTCATTCATTTTCCTTTGGCCTAGTCCTTTATTTATCAGGGGTCCTCAGAGCAGAATGAACTGCCACTATTCCAGCATATGAAAAGTTCAGATGGAAAAACTTCTGTGCATCTGAAAATTTCTTCTAATATAACCATTTTTCTCAGGCTCCTATGTCTTGATTCAGTAATTTTACTTTTATGGCAAAGAAAAGTTTATTTCTTTGCCATAAAATTCTAGATGGCACTTAGAGGTTTTTGCATCTAAACTCTTCATATGTTTTACACAACGGATGCTTTTCCAGGCGCAACCCAGTACTGAGAAACACCTATAAACTCTCGCATTCAGACACACTCCTGCATAACAGCCAATTTAGCTATAGCGCTTGTCTTTTGACTGTGGGGGAAACCAGAGCACCCGGAGCCAACAACTGGAGAACATGCAAACTCTGTACAGAAATGCCCACTGGCCCAGTCGGGACTGGAACCAGCGACCTTCTTGCTGTGAGACGACACTGCTAACCACTTAGCCACCGTGTTGCCCTAGTAGATTAATTGTTTGATATATTTTATTAGATGTATTTCAGTGAATCTCTCATTCATTCTTTAAAAACAATTATACATTAAAGAAATACAGATATGTAGTTTTAGATATGAAGGTGTAATTGCTTCACATGTCCTTTGACATTCCTTTTCAACAGTTTTCCCTTCCCCCTGTTATGCTACACCTTTTTACATGTCACACCTTTTCCATTTTCTTTTCTAGTAAAAACACACTTTCTTGCAGCTTCTTGACCACAAACTGTGAAAAAAAAAAAAACTGCCAAATCTGTTTAAAAAGTTTAGGAAGTTAAAGAACATTTAGTAAAAAAAAAAGTAAATGTTCCTTATTTTATGTTAATAACAGATTGAGTTTACTGTAATTTTTACATTTATCCTATATTATTCCAGTTCTAGGAAAATTAATGAAAATGCTTTAAATGTACAGTACCAACACTTCTGGAAATTTTATTAAATATCAATTCCAAATGTATAAGGAAACTGTAAGTTCAGTTTATCATCACACGTTTAAATTCCGTTTAAATTAAAAAAGAAGAATTAGTTTTTTTTTTTAGGAAAAATGTTCTGCAAATCTAACAACAAATGTTTTAAAAGTACAATTTACAGTCAAGTGACATTTTACACGTAAGCTGTAAATAATATATGTATGTAGAAATCAACTAAACCCCTACTACAGCTAAATATAAACATACTGTTTCAAACATATTATTTGCATCAAGGATGAGGAGTTCTACCTCTGTTCAATTCAACGTTCCACTTGCTGTACAATAAATATGCTATGCAAAGTGTAATCATTGAAGCTTTTAATATTAACTAGGCATGACTGTCTTGTAATGAACTTTGGCTACAACACTTGATAAACTGCATTGAAACAAAATAATTTATTTGGGTTAAATGACTGTACTTTTACTGACCCCTCGAGGTAAAACACTGAACTGCAAAAACGTTTGTCAATTCAAACACTTCTTTAACCAATGAATTAACAATGAAGACACAACAAAAACAACCACATAGCTACTCTATATAACTTTCATATACATGGCAGAGGATAAACCAGTAACTTAAATCACATGCAAATAAATAAATATGCAAGCAGACACCCAGAGAGACAGGTTAATAAATGAAGCATGCAGAAGTGAGACTGTGGTGACGCACATCAACCGTGACCAACATCAGGATTAGCAACTGGAGTAACTGGATGCGCAGCCAATGACTGGCATCCAGAATTTACCCAGGTCAGAGAAGAGAACAGGAATAAATATCCAGAACCAAAATAAGATCCAGCAGAGGTGACATGAGCCTGCGTGAGAGTGTGGGAGAGATGAGTGAATCATTCCAGTCAGTCAGAGAGAGATAGAGCGAGAGAGTATTTGGGCCAGTATTCTGTTGACACGCATGCCTGTCTCTCCAGGGGGCGTCTGTGGTTTCAGTCACGACAATCTTGTCAGTTCACTCTCTCATATTCTCCCACTCGCAGACTCCAAAAAGCCTTTTGCCGCCCTTGGGGTCCACCATCTACCCCCACCCGCCCCTTCTCTCTCTCTGTCCTGCGTGTCTCGCCAGTTCATCTAGTTCAAGGTGCCGTGACGTGAATTTCACAGCTGACATATTCCTTTATGCTGGCCTCAGAGCGCAGCGTCTCTCCCTCTCTCATCTCCCTCCCCGCTTTCAAAGCAAATGGCTTTCTTTTGTGGGAAAGATTTCGCTGCATTTTAAGAATCCATTAAAGCTATCTAAGATCTGACTGTGATATAAAATCGATACCTAAGGGCATTTAACGCTTCACCTTTCATAAGAAGCACCTTCTTGATGTTCTTTTCCCTTGCTCCCCCTCTCACGCTCTCTTTTTCTCTTAGCCTTTTCATCTCGTCTTTGAACTGTGCCTGCTCTCTTTAGAGGCATGGGAGATATTTTCAGACTTTGCTTGATATTTATGAGGATTTATGAGGCTGCAGGTTCAAGAGCAGGAGGGAAGTGGGAAGGACTGTAGCTCTGCTTCTAAATGAAGTGTGCTGCCTACCTAGACGGTATTTTTAAGACATCACAGACATGCTATTGACGCAGAAGCTGTTCTAAAACATATGCTGTCTTCAAAAAGACCAAGGCAGTGCGGATATGCTAATCACAATGATAAGTGAATTGATTAATTCAAGATGGTGGGTGAGTCCCAAGAAAGGTAATTAAATTAGATCTAATCTACCTAACTGTGTTAATGAACATAATGAAATCTGGTTTAAAAGTGATCTGTTTTACTCAGTATTTCTTTTCTTTTTTCAATTTGTTGGCCTATAGATTTGTGTGACTAGCACAACACTCTAATGTCCTTATAATAAAGTAAACCAAACATTTAAAACCTTACCCTTAAACAAAACATTTTTAGACTTTCAGATAAATATAATTTAGGGCCAGTCCAAACCATTTTAAAAAATTATTTCTGTCTATGTGGGCACATTGGTCATCACAATGTTGCATAAACGAATACATACCCTATGACAGGGGTGGTGTTGCGAGGGATGAAAGGAATACACGTCCTTAAAAAAAAACATTTTCTAATTCACCCCGCCAATATACCCCCACTTTCAAAAGGTGATCTACTCTAATCTTAATAATAGGATCATAAATGGTTTAATAAAAAATAAACGTTTTTTTAGTTGACAGTCTTTTAACAACAAATTGTGAAGCTTTGTTACTTGTAAAAAAAGAAAAAAAAAACATTGATAAATGAACCCACTTCTCATTTACAAGTCTGTTATGAGCCATATCATAACTCTTGAGCCTCCTATCTCCTCCTGATTTGCAGTTTCTGTTTTTTTCCGTTTTTTTGACAACGTAATTTTCTGCATGTCTTCAAATCTGAAAATATGATTTATTTAAGTATGAGTCCAATATGATAGTTTTCCACAAAATAGGTTGATGTGGGCATTGTAGCACTTTAAATGAATGTAATGCCTGTTTCATTCATACTTGAGCAGAAATTCCATATATGCCTCACAAAAGTAGTTGAACATTCCAGGAAATCCCTAATATGGATGAAGGCATCACGCTATTGCTGTAGCTGAATGAAAATAAGATCTGAACAAACATAAAATGGCTTTAACTGATCATTTACACAACCGTGACAATAAGTGGTTTATGTGTTTTTAAGTCGATTTATAATTCGATGCTAACTGACATAGCATGTTTCAGTAGAGTATAGCTATAAAATAATATGCTAGATGCATGAACTCGCTGTGATTTAACTATTACAGAAACAGATGTGACTGGCTATATCATATCTAGATAAATATGTCTAGATATCTCTATCATATCTAAAAAGCTAGTACAATTTACGTTTTCCTGACTAATTCGCTTGCATTTACATTTATATGATGCACATTTTATTGATTTACAGTTATTTTATTTCACTAAAACTACACACATTTCATACTCTGAAAACAATATTAAGCTTCATCAGTAGTTAGAACTATTTAGTTTAGCAAAAAAGTTGTATTATTACCTCATCAGCTTCAGCTCCTCAAAGTAATGAATGAATGAAGACAGTGCTGTGGTGGGATTTTTTTTAACACCATGTGACAACATTTTTATTTAAGTGCAACATATTCCAATAGATCAGGCACTTTTGACAATACATCAGGGGCTTAAACCCCCAAACCAAACCCCAAAATGTGTCTGAAAGACTAGCATAGCAGATTAGCATACTGCTGCATCTGCAATAAAGTAGGAAATTAAATATGAAAGGAATGTGGATGTGACAAATGATTGACAGGGCATGTAACTGAGCAACAGAACAGTCAATTATTAAAGGGTTATCAAACCCTAAAACACATATTTTGAGATGTTGACAGATATGTGTGCCACATTGCTTAAAACACTAATACGACACAGATATTTT